GGGAGACCGTACGACTACGAGGCGATGTGCCTGAACGCGCTCAAAGTGCGTCTCCTATTTTGCTCAGACAGGTTCTAGAGCTCAGTAGATGCATCTCCTCAGGTCGGATATCGTCACCTGGATACTGTAAGCGGCTGTTCATGTTCGGGTGCAGAGCAAGAGTCTGCCCTCTAATTATGACATACATGACAGGCTCCTGGCTATGGCAAGTAATCGAGGGAATTTGTGCAGATCATATTGAATAATGACCTCTTGTCTCCCAGGTAACGAGAGCTCTGTCGGTGAAGCCATCCGAGAGTCCGGCATCCCCCGCAGCGAAGTCTTCATGACCACAAAGCTTGGGTAAGCCTGCTCAGTGTCCATAGCAAGACAGGTGCTGAGCCAAATTTTAGACATTACCACAACGTCCGCCAGTCATTCGAACACTCGTTGGAGGCGCTTGGCATCGGGTACATTGACCTCTACCTCATGCATTGGCCGCAAACAAACGAGCACAGTATGCATTTTCTCGCTGTGGAGATATCCAGCTTGGCTGACGCATTTTCCAGAGACCGAGCCGTGGAACCCGGGCCGGGCGCTATCTTTCGGCGAGCACCCCAACTTTGTCGACGCCTGGAGGGCGATGGAGGCGCTCCTCGCCACCGGCAAAGTGCGCGCGATCGGCGTCTCGAACTTTTCGATCCAGAACCTCGACGTCCTGCTCCGGCACGCGTCCGTCGTCCCGGCGTGCAACCAGGTCGAGGCGCACCCGTGTCTCCCGCACGCCGCGCTCAAGGCGTACTGCGAGGCGCGGAGGATCCTGTTGACGGCCTACGCCCCGCTAGGTCCGTGCCGCAAATCTCATTGTACACTACGTGTGCACCAAGACCCTGTGAAGATGCTGATATCCGGACTGCACGCAGGCCAGGGCAACCCGCTGTACTTCAGTGACCCCGACGTCGCGCGGATCGCCGCCCGCCACGGCGCCACGCCCGCGCAGGTCGCGCTCAGCTGGCTCGTGCAGCGCGGCACGCCACCCGTCGTGAAGAGCGCGAACGTCGAGCGGATGCAGGCGAACATCAGCGTACGCTTCTTTTCTGTCTCTCTCCCGCCCCGCCTATGGCTCCTGCGCTGACATGCATTTCCGACGGCAGCTCGTGCCGCTCGCGCCCGAGGAGATGCGCGCGGTCGACGGCGTGCACGCGAAGCCGGGGATGCACAGGTCGCTGCTCGACTACCATGCCCCCGACGGGACGGTGTTCGGGTGGACGTACGAGCAGCTCGGGTGGGCGTTCGAGGTCGGAGGCGTGGTCAAGGCTTGAGTAGATGGCGGGGCTGCGCTAAATGCGTGTCGGAAGCGGACGCGCCTCGCTTGTGTTTTGCTGTATAGAGAAGATATCTACTCGGGATATGCCATCAGCATTTGTCGTCATCCTCTCCTCGATGCGCCCGCGTGACGCGCGGCCGCCTCACGCGTGAAGGGGCGTGAACGCGTCCTGTAAAGAGATTATCCAGGCACCGATCGCGAAGACGGCGGGTTGCTGATCCAGCCCGGGCCGGCCAGGCGTTGGTATAAATACAGCCGTGCGTCACACCCAGAAGAGACAGTTCTTGTTCTTATCACAAGACACTCAGACGCAGGGACAGGTAAAAAAAAAGATGTCCTCAAGGGTCTCAGACATCCCGTGTTTCACTATGAACAACGGTGCAAAGATGCCCGGCGTTGGCAAGGGGTGAGTCCGAGTCCGCCGGCGGACGCACTGGCGGGCTGGTGTTAAGCATGCTGACCCACGCTAATATGCCTCGGCTGCAGCTGTTGGCTAGGGCCAGGGGGCGGCCACGACGTTGCTGTAGAGATGTGCAAGAACGCGCTCAAGGTATCGTCACCACGCTAGGCCGGGCATGCAATGTCGGCTCACTCTGCTTCTCAGAGCGGATACAGGCACATCGACACCGTGAGCCCTCTGGCGCGTGTAAAATTGACAGAAATCTGACGGACGCGCACGGACAGGCTGCTGGGTATTGTGAGTAGTATGCCACATGCGCGCGGCGGTCCTCGGCACTTATCGAGACGCCACGCAGACAACGAAGAGCTCGTCGGAAAGGCAATTCGAGAGTCTGGCGTCCCGCGCGGCGAGCTCTTCGTTACAACGAAGCTCAGGCAAGAATATTCAGACTGAGCATTTTGTTCTCGTGGGAATCTCATGTAATGTGACAGGCAATGCGATGGACACCGCGTCCGCGAAGCGTTCGAAGACTCTCTGAAAGCCCTGGATATCGAGTACATCGACCTGTACTTGATGCACTGGCCCGTAACGCATACCGCAGACGGTTAGTGACGTGTCATGTCACACTCACCATCAACCTCGATCCCCTCGCTCTAGGTTCGCGTGCTCGCCCATTTGAAGAGCATCCAAATTTTGTCGACGTTTGGGCCGAGATGGAGAAGCTCCTCGACACAGGTAAACCCTGCCTCGTCAATATCTTGTTGTACGCAGTGCTAAGCGGGACAACAGGCAAAGTCCGCGCCATCGGCGTCTCCAACTTCTCCATAAAGAACCTGGAGATCCTGCTCAAGCATGCCAAGGTCGCGCCAGCGAACAACCAGGTCGAGATCCACCCCTACCTCCCGCAGCACGCGCTACAAAAGTACTGCGACGAGAAGGGTATCCTCCTCTCCGCGTACTCGCCGCTCGGTGCGTCGCGTCTCCTCCGCCAGCTTTTCTCGGCAGAACCGCTAAAGGCACTGAGCCACAGGCCAGGGCAACCCGATGTTCTTCAGCGACCCCGACTTTGCCAGGATCGCCGAGAGCCACGACGCCACGCCGGCACAGATCTCGATCAGCTGGCTCGTCCAGCGGGGCACGCCACCGATTGTGAAAAGCGCCAACGTCGAGCGCATGAAGAAGAACATCACCGTGAGTCCCCCCGTTCAGTCGTAAACTATTTGTATGCAGCGACTTGACCTGCCGCGGTTTGGACAGCTCGTGAAGCTCTCCCCGGGAGAGATGGAGGTCATCGACAACATCCAC